CAGCTTATTTTATATATACAGTTTATATATATACAGTTTATATATACACAGTTTATATATCCAGTTTATATATGTGCATCGGTTTACTTTTTTCATTTAACGGCACACCACCCGTCCTTACCGGAGCTACAACTTGCAATCACGCCACAACACACGTGTTATGGTCGGTGCATACAGCTGCTTTGCAATTGTCCTTGGCGTCTTGTTCTTTTGAGCCAAAACTTAAATTACTCAAGCCAGCTTGCCTCTGCTCATGATGCATTGAATATCAAAATCCGGCCAGAGTTTGCTTGGGTTGACCCAATGCTGCTGAAATTGTGCATTCCCAGAGGGCCCGTGCAGCTGATGGGATGTGTAACTACATACTTTTATTTTTTCATGTCGAGGGAGAGATATGTGAAGGAGGCATATTGTCTATTTTTTATTTTGTTACTTATATTACCCAGAACGACTCTATTATTAATTATTGCATTAGGTTGGCTGCTTGGCCTTTCTCTCTCCAGGTACTTCAATTCATCGTGTTTTCTAAAGTCTACCATATCATACTCTTTGGTTCTATTTAGTAAAGTCACGTAGGTAAAAATAAAACAACAAAAAATCACGACGTTTCGGCCACAACACAAGTGGCCTTCATCAGGTGAAGGGACCAGACTGTCCAGAGGACAGCGTTGGAGTGAAAAAAGCCACGTCCAGTTCGCGTCCTTTAAGCTGTGTGGGAGGAAACAAAAGTGCCTTGACAAAGGAATTAGCATAAAAATGAGCATGATGTCCGTAGGAGGTACATGATGGACCAGGTGCGGGAGGGGGGGAGTTTACATAATGTTGGTGTGAAGGGAAATAAGCAGCTGTGGAAGTTTGGGATACCACTACTTGAAAAAATATACTGTACCATTGAAAATTAGTTTAATGTTTGGTTTGATTTAGAACATCTTTCAAATGATTGCTTAATTTGAAACCATCTCGGTTGAAATTGTGTCTGTGTTTGTAAATCTTAATTGCCTCGTGGACAAATCTCTGATAAAAACCCGTGGGTTTGCAGAGAACCTTGGTATCGGAGAAAACTATATCGTGATCACCCACAGCGTTGTAACAGTGATCAGCTACGGCAGAAGAATTAGTTCGGCCATGTTTCAAATCTGATTTGTGCTCGCGAATTCGGTCAGAAACATGTCGTTTCGTCTCCCCGATATAGCAGTCACCACAGGTGCAGCTCAATTTGTAAACCCCGGGGTACTGTAAGTCAGGAATGACATCCTTCACGGATGGGATCAGGTCACGGATTTTGTGTACTGTATTGAACCGGACCAGGACCTTGTGTTTGTTTGAATTTTGGAAATCTTTTTAGTAACGCCTGCTATATATGGTAGTGTGATGGTTTTGATCGGAGTATCAAGTGGTTGTTTCTGTATGGAGGGAGAAACAGCTTGGCGGATGGTACGGTCAGAGTATCCGTTCCTCTTGAGGGCCAGATGTACATGTTTTAATTCACTGGTCAAGTGGTGTTGGTCCGAAATGCAATGAGCCCTGTGGTATAACGTTTTGATGAGAGAATTATTTTGAGTCGGGTGGTGGTGGGAATCAGGTTTCAAGTAGGAATCTGTGTGGGTGGGTTTCCTGTAGACAGAATGTCGCAATGAGCCATCAGGTCTCCTCTCAAACAGAACATCCAAGAATGGCAGCTTGCCATCTTTCTCCACTTCCATGGTGAATTTGATGGCGGGGTGTCTGGAATTGATGTGGTCTAGGAAAAGGTTCAAAGCTGGGAGGCCATGTGGCCAAATGACGAAAGTGTCGTCTACATATATCTTCCACAGGGAAGGTCTGAGGGTGGAAGTCTGGATGGGGTCTGATTCAAATTTCTCCATGAAAATATTGGCTATCACTGGTGACAAGGGGGAACCCATGGGGTACCCTCATTTTGTTTGTAGAAGGTGCCATTCCAAGTAAAATAGGTATTGGTGAGGCAGTGCCTAACCAGCGCAGGTGTATCGGGCTCTAGTCCATGTTGGACCAAATTTTCAATTATTTCAATGGTATCAGGTACTGGGACCTTGGTGAACAGAGAGACCACATCGAAGCTGACAAGGATATCGTCAGGGGACAGTACAACGTCTTTGAACATAGAGACCAATTGGGCTGAGTTAAGTACTGCTGAGGTAGTCTTGCCAGTGAAAGGCAGCAAGGTATCTGACAGAAAACGGGCTAGGCTGTAGGTAGGGGAGTTGATCGTGGATACGATGGGTCATAGTGGGGTGCCTTCTTTACGAATCTTGGGAAGACCATAGAATCTAGGGGGTCTTGCAGCAGAAGGTTTTAGGGAGGGACGTTCAGTTGGTTCGATTAGGGAGGTCGAACTTGTGATGCTCTTATTGGTTTTCATCGTTAGGCTATTAGTAGGGTCATTTTTAATTTTTTAGTAACTTCCATCATTGAGCAGGTTATGGATTTTGTTGTATGAATCTTCATCCATAATTACAGTAGCGTTGCCTTTGTCGGCTAAGAGGATGGCTATATCATTTCTGTTTTTTAAATTTGCGAATTCAGAGCGTTCATTTTTGCTGATGTTGCTAATGGGTTTCTTAGCATTCTTAAGAATAGTGGCTATTTCAGCTCTCGCAACGTCTGCTTGGATGTGTCCTATGCCTTTGAGGGCTACATCGACCTGAGAGATGATATCATCTACTGATATATGTTTTGGGGTGACAGCAAAATTTAGCCCTCTAGCCAGTACTGTTTTCAGATTTACCTACGTAATTTTAACGAATAGAACCAAAGAGTATGGATCCTTGCAGTCACGAAAGCTTCAAATCTAGAATCGACCATGTCATTCCATCTGACCCTCAGTTTTTCCTCTTAGGCATCATGGCAATGTTTATCTTTCATGCAAGGCAACTATGTAGATCAATGTGTCATGTGCAATGTTAATGGTTAGACAGAAGCTTGCCCCAGGGTGGGAAAAGGAGCTAAAATGGAAACCAAGTATTGTTTTATATTGTTATTATTTTATTGTTTTCCTTCTATGTGACTTTACCGAAAGAACCAAGAATACAAGTACACAGTGTTAAGAGAGACTGGTGCATTAAGAGATGAGTGTTTGCGCCAGGGCTGACACCTGTCTTACTTACAGCTCTTAACATTGGACTTAACCAAAACAACCAGAACATAATTTTCTGCCATTGAAATATAAAAACGTACTCTGTATGTGAAGAATGTTTTGCCATGGTTAGGGTACACGATTTGGAGGTTCTGAAATTAACAATGTGATTGGTTGGGGCTATTGACCGAGACATACATTTTATGCACGTATGTTGAACTTCTTTCGCTCCTTATGTCGCCAACCGTGCTCATTTGAGTGGCGCCCAGAGGTTGGGGAAAGTCCCAAAACCAATTGGTGAACCACAGTCGGATGAGCTGGCAGTCAACTTTGCAAAATCTCCCAAGGTCTGGCGGACGGAAGTGAAGTGAGGCGCATTGGCATAAACTGTGTCGGTTGTGACAACTTCTTGGCCTTAAAGATGAATCCTTGTTTGCTTGAACGTTCTGTGGTTGGTGGCCATGCGAAAACTTTTAATTTGGTCAATGTGCATTCTTTTAGTATTGTTTTTTTGTTCATGGGTAGTTTGAGATTGTAATTATCCTTAAGTATCTAGTATCCAATGTGATTCCATGTCTATTATTATTGTTGTTGTTTTGATTTAAAACTTTCATGACTGCAGGGATTCATATTCTTGGTTCTTTCAGTAAAGTCACGTAGAAGGGTAACAATAAAATAATAAAAATATAAAACAATACAATTCTCACGACGTTTCGACTGCAACACAAGCAATCATCATCAGGTGTGAAAACCACAAAAAGAAAATTTGAAAAAAGTGGCGGTTATTTTTAACGTTAGCACCACGGAGAGTGATTTTACAGTTTGTTCAGATGGACGAGTCCATCTATGTTCGGAAAAGAGGAGGGGGGAGACGAAAAATAATGGATGCGGTCTGAAAGCCACCTTAAGCGTGATCAATCAATTAAGACCCGAAATGGTTTATCAAATCCTTCCAATGATTGCTAAGCCATAATTCATCTTCTCGGTTGAAATTGCCTCAGTGCTTGTATATGTGGATAGCCTCATGAACGAATCTCTCATGGTAGCCAGATGGCTTGCAAAGAACCTCTCTTGTTGTGGTTTTCACACCTGATGATGATTGCTTGTATTGCAGTCGAAACGTCGTGATAATTTTTATTGTTTTATATTTTTATTGTTTCCCTTCTACGTGACTTTACCGAAAGAACCAAGAATATTATTGTTGTTGTTTTAACCTTTTCTACCCTCACATATTATTTTATTATTTAATTTTAGATTTTAGCTTTTCCACAGTTATATTTTCCACAGTTATACACATGTGGTTTTTTTTGGTGTCAGTGACGAGTAAATGTTATGGAACTCTGCAGCGAGCAGGGCATCTCCCTGTGCCGTAGAAAATTACATCATAGAACTACTTCTGAGGTCAGTTTACCGAGACTCTTTATCCGCACTAGGGTTGCACTTTTTACATGTCCTGCGAAGAGTGTTTGTTACATATTAAATAGACTGATAGTTTTAATACTCAGAGATAGAATTTAGCCAAATAATTGAATAGTAAATTAATATCATGTGAAGTATATTTTGTTTAGCCAGGTGAGAAGTCTAGAGACCAAGATAAGTCTCATTTGCAAGAGTGACCTGGAGCACTAAAATTACAAAGACAAAAAATAAAACTACAGCTATGAAGCAAATAGAAATTGGAGCAAAAACAAATGTCACGAGACATACGAATGATTTCTTCAACACGAAGGTGAACATAAATTATTTTTGTGCAGTCGTTGGTGAGCAGGGCATTGGAAGACGATCATCTCTGCTACATGCAAAAATCCTGCTTAACCATGGGGTGTTTGCCCAAATTCAAACCTCTCGTGTTTTACCATCATCGTGTTGTTCCGTCTCTCTCCCTCATACTGTCTCTGGTCCTCAGCTGCTGCGCAAGCGACACATTGGCAACGACATCGTTACCATCGTTTTCCAGGAGCCAGGTGCACTGCCATTCACTCCGCGCCACATCCGCTCACAGTACCAGCACGTGTTCATCGTGGTGCGCGTGCAGGACCCCTGCACAGACAACGTTTCTTACAGGTCAGCCTAGAGAGCACGCGTTTGAGTACTCATGACACCATCATCATCATAACCATCATCATCGTCGTCGTCATCAGTTAACCCTTATACCACGCCTCCCATGCAGTGCGTCTCGAGCTGTCCCTCTGTGGCATGAGGTGAACATAACACCAGCCTGTGAGTGGGCAGGGTTCATTGACAACACCTGAAACAAGAAATATTCACTCTTTAAAGGTTTGTTTCAGAGCTGGGCTATTTGATAATTATTAAATAATCGCATTTGTGGATCTCTGCAGGATCCACTAACCCTGCCTCCAAAGTGCCGGATTACTGACGTGCATGCCAGTGCGGAAACCATCAGTACTGCAGATAGTCACGTGACGATGCATTCAAATTAATTTTTATGCTCACAATGCACGCATCGAATTGCACGCTTAATAATGTTATCTTGGTAATCCTGTATGTTCTCTGCCTTTCTTTTACATAGAGGATGGGATGATATTTTCCTTACTTGCGGCCTAATAGGACCTTGGGCACACGTGAACACACACAGCTCATGTCGCCTCTGTCAATCCAAGTGGCCCGAGCAGTGGCAGAAGTGAATGAACGTGCTACATTATAAAGAGTGCAGCTGGATCAAAAATATTCCCCTCGAATACCCAATTATTGCGGCTAAGATGCGTGCAGGGACAGATAAATATAAAATCGAAGTGGGAGGTATCATGTGGTCGTGAGCCGTATGAATTGAAGTCCCAGGCCTTGTCCAGCCTGTGGGTTCCCTTTACGTGAACTTCACGGCCACAAGAGCTTGTGCATTTTCCAAAATTCTCCCAAAAAATAATCGAGTCTGCATTAGGAATCGCGTCCTCGAATCATGACAGTTCGACGAATTTGCAAGCCAGAAAAACGTCCGCACACCTGACAGTGCCCCACTTATACATTTTCTCACTGCCAAACGCCACCGCCTGTTTTCCCCACCCCTCCTCCTCCTCCGTCCCCTTCTCCCCCTTTCCCCCATTGGCGTCGGTGTGCCCAGCGTGTCGGTGGCGCGCTCAAAGGACGTGCCGTCGTTTGGGCCGCCGTTCCCCAACCGTGCGCGATTCCCCAAGTCGCCGGCATTCCGCGAGTTCCTGCTGAGCAAGGCGATCAACGGCGAGAACGCCGCCTTCAAGGCCGACAAGTTCCTGGCAATGGCGACGCGCACGCGGCTCGAGTACCTGCGCGAGCTGGCCGAGCACCACGCGACGGGCGCCGCCCTCGCCGACGCTTCCGCCTCCACCAAACTCGGCGCTCTCATCTCGCTCGGCGGCAAGCGGCGCGAGAAGACGGCGGGGCGGCCCGGTGCCGAGATCGCCGAGGCGCCCGGGGCGCTCGCCTGGCCTGTGGTGGCGCAGGACCTGGCTCGCGCCTGCGAGCTCGACTGCTGGCTAGCGGTGTCGGGGGCGCGGGCGGCGCTGATCGACCGCGCCGTGCGCACCGTCGTGTTCCACGTGCCCGGCAGGGACGTGCTGGGGTGGACGAGTGGCGCGAGCAGCGTAAAGCTGTTCTATGGGCGCGGGGAGTGCGTGCTGGTGAGCCGAGCCGAGCCCGAAGATGTCCGTGACATCACACTGCGGCTGCAGGTGCGTCGTGGCGTCCCGCGTGGTTCGGTGATGGCGCTGCTGGGAGCTTTGGTTTGTTTGTCATTGTAGTGACGGTGATTCAGCATCATCATACTTGTTATGGCGATGGTCGTTTTATCTTGAGCGGCATTGATTTGTATTCTTTTATCATCTGAACCGATTCTGGGCCTCCTCTCGATCGACTCGGCCTTAAATAAGTACCTTGTGCTGTATGTAAACATCCCCACTGGGAGGACAAAGGTGACCGAGCATGGTGCTGGCCACACCACCCCCTCGCGTCCTGTGCTAACCTTGATAGCTGCTTGCTAACGGCATGCGCCCTACCAGTCTGTTAAGGCTACAAAGGAGATCTGTGTCTTTGTTATGTTGCACTCAAGCCCGTGTATGTTTGGACATCTACACCAAATCCTCCTGTTCTGTCACACTTCATCTCCACTACCCTTGGCGCTGAACGTTTTAATCCTACGCAAACATGTCTATAATGCTCAGCCTCAATTATTTGATGGTGAAGTAGGTTTTCAGACATCTGTTGCAAAAAGGCCCCGCTTTGCCTTGACCAAACTGGAGGTCATGTAGAGGGCAGGACCGAATTGAATTAGCGAGAAGGATTTAGCCTCCAGGAAAATGTGTCTGCCGCTGCCGTCTCTGTTCTCCTGCACGTTTACTGGGTCATTGGTCTCTTTTCTGCAAAAGGACTCTTGCAGGGATATACGCGGTGCGTATCCAGATGCGCCTATGACCAACGATTGACATAATTGGATATTTTGGATGCAAAGGAAATTGTTTTCAGCTTGATACCTGCTTGCACTCTGGTTTTAACAATGTTTGGACTGCGCGTGCGTACATGTGTGCACTATTCCACTATATGGGGAGTGGTAGTGTAGCGGTTAGCGCGCTGCGTACCGAACCCAACTATCTAAGGTCGATTCCTGCTCATGGCCAACACCAGTTACGATTATTTTAAACGGTCCTTGGCCTCCGCTAGGTCGACTCAGCCTCAAGTGAGTACCTGGTGCAGAGTGTAAAAACATTGCCACTGAGGAGACAAAGGCAGCCGGGCTTAGTGCTGGCCACCCACCCCCTCGTGTGCCGTTCCCGCCTTTATAGGTGCTCGCTTAACAGCACTTGCCCCAACAGTCTGTCCAAGCAATATCTTTTTCTTTGTCTTTGTTGCTGTGTAGTGGTCGGTAAAGTACGCTGCGTTCTGATGCCAGCGACCTGTGTGGTCCACCAACCTCAATTCCTGGCTGCTATTCACAGAAACTGTTATCTGCACCTGACCTGGGCCTCCACTTAATCAACTCAAGGGATTTAGCCAATTAGCTTGCGACCCACTTTATCTTAGTTTGCATATAGGACTAATATTTTCTTTGTTACTCATTAAGGCCTCGCGGAGACTTCTTTTTAAGAGAGTCCTGCTGTGATATGTTTGGATATTCTTTTTTTCAGTTATTGCATGCGTATGGAAACCAGAATACCCAGTGACACCCAGGTGTATGAAGGGGATACACTCAAATTACTCAGAGGTCGCCTTGAGTAACCTACTTTCTTTACTGTCACCCACAGGCACCTCATTACACTGCAGGTAACCCATGCTTAATCTCTTTGTGAACCACCAACCTCACCTCCACGTCACTGGGTGACATGTATCCAGTAGAATTTCCATGCAAGGATAATTACTAATTGACAATTTACAACTTCCGTGCGTGTGCAGTTGTGGCGAGCGGTGGCGCAGTGGTTCGCGCACTGCACTACAAACACACGCAGCCTCTGTTAGATTCCTGGTCATGACTGTTATCTGTGCCAAGTGATATCAGAACCTGTTCTTGGCCTCCCCTAGTTTGGCTGAGCCTAATCTATAAGTACCTGGTGTGGTATGGTAACGTCAGCACTGGGGAAATAGCCATATAATGGAATGCCATCCGCAAGGAAGTCCACCTCAGAGATGGAGCGATAAACTCATCTCGTGCCCAAGTGCCAAGCTGATTGTTCATCACAGGATCGTGAAATATGTATGTTGAACTTATTTCGCACTGTCTGTAGCCAACCGCGCTAATTGGAGGTGCGGGGCGAGAACATGAGGAGGTCTGCATTCAGTAGTGGATTAATCATGGCAGATGATGGGCTAGAGGCAGAAGAAACCTGTCTCAATCCATCCCCACCACCAATGCCCACACACGTGGCCATGTCTCGCAGCAGCAGCCAGGTTAGATTAACTGAATTGAGAATGCACTGCACAAGTCTTTTTAGACGTGGGACAAACATCCCCATCGTCTAGCCAGCCTCGCGGAAAAGGTTTTTTTTTAGCTCCCTCCATCTGGCCGCCTGGCTGCACTTTGACAAACTAAGACAACGTAACAGCGATACCGCTAATGTTCAAGCCTTGGCTAAAGCTGTCAACAAGGCGCGAGATTGGTTAAAGTTGTGTCGCGCTGCAGTAACTGCTATTCAATGAGTTTGCGAACCCACTGAAAGCCCAATGATGCAGTGTTTTACAATGGATACATGGGTATTCCTCGGTAATTGGCAAGATAAAGTAAATTGCTACTGAAATAACCAAAGAGTACATTGCTTCTAGTTGCACCGATGAATTAACATGCTTTAAATCAACCTGGATGGCTTTTAGCATATGTGGCAGGAATCTGTTTGAAAGCCAGCAAAATATAAATGACATCCTATCCTGGAAAAGCAGGTCTCCAAATGTGTCCATGAGCCCTGGTAAACATTCCAAATGCTGCCCGGCAATATTTCACGATCACACGTTCAGAATTGTTGCACTCACTTGCCATCGAAGTCTATTCAGCCAGTTGCCTGGTATGCAGTAGAAAAGTTTAGAAAATTGTCAGAACACTGCTGAAGTCGGTACAGTTGGCACAAGTACGCAGTAACAAATTGGGCAACAGAATAATACAGAGCTGCACCTTCACCTTTGTACGTTCTCCAAATGCACAGCTGTTGCGCTGAGAAGAGCCCTGTATGAGAGTGATTGGCAGCGCTTCAACACATGGCCCACTACCCGACATGCACGGACGCTGGAGTAGCGTACCCGCGTGTACGGTTGGGGCCTTTGTAACGGCGGGGGTTGTTTTTTAACGTCGACTTCCGCTTCGTTAACTCCCTCGGCAGCGCACGACGAACGGGTGCGAGACGGAGGAGCTCACGCTGCGGCGCAATGGCCTGGGCCAGCTGGGCTTCCACGTGAACGCAGAGGGCGTCGTTGCCGAGGTGGAATCCTACGGCTTTGCGTGGCAGGCTGGCCTGCGGCAGGGCAGCCGCCTCGTGGAGATCTGCACCGTCGCCATGGCCACGCTGAGCCACGAGCAGATGATTGACCTCCTGCGTACATCCGTCACCGTCAAGGTGGTGGTGGTTCCGCCCCTGGAGGATGGGAAGCCACGCAGGTGGGTGGGCCTTCGGGACGCTGTCCCACCCCTGCAGCATCCCACCCGCGTGCCGTCTTCCTATACAGCCTAGCCGCACATGGCGTGTAACTCTTCACTCGGGTTGCCACCAGGACTTAACTTCAGCCAGGTTTGTCCAGATTGGTGATCTTGCCCGGCCCGGCTGGATTTACCAATATTGCAGTGATTGTCACCTGCAGCGCATGTTTAAGCCAAGAGAAGCATTAGGCGATAACATAGCGATAAGATGTCACTTTGCCTTGCCACTTCCCGTGATGGTGTTTCCTGTGGCCTCACTTCATGTGATGTCGCTTCCTGTGCAATCGCTTTCTTTCTGAAAGGGTGACTGGCGGCAAACCATCGAGCCGGATATGATGTCATTGTGATCTATAGTCAGCCGGCTGATGGAGCCATTCCTTTATCACACTGTTGCTAGAAATGGTGAAACGGTGTGGTGGCCTAGCAATAGTTTTGTGACAGTTGCTCTGTTCAATAAAAGTAACGACATGTGTATTGGACCAAAGGCAAAACTAATTGTGGTCTTACTGAAAACCACTTATGATGATTGTGATATATTATATAGTGTGTTAATTATGTTATCATATTACATTGTAAAAGAAAAGTGATGTCAGGTAACATTGGACACATGCTACCATGGTCAAAGCCCATGAGGTACTTGATGAAGGTCCCAAAGTTCATAAGAAAAATGTTGCCTGGACACCCACATTTTCTTAAAATGCCTCTTTGCCCTTGAACCTGTCGATCAAATAGTTTACATTTACTGCATGCCACCAAAAAAGTTTGGTTGTTTTGTAAGGCCATGCTTATATTTCAGGCCTTGCAGCTTCCCTCATTGTCATCAACACTATTCTGAAGGCTGCTTGGGCCAGCGCGCAAACCCCACAATGCTCAGAAAAACGTTCTCACCGTCACCATGATCACAAGCGATTTTTTTTCAAACCCTCATCGCCACGACCCTTCTACACTCCTCACCTTGCTGTGCCACCCTTTGTGTCTGCTCGCGCCGATATTTCAAGCAGCAATTGGGCAGGAGAGATCGAATCCAACAGTTGTGGCTAAACCGGTCGTGTTTGGCAGCGGCGGTTGCGTCTGGAGGGCATGCACGTGTGTGCGCAAGTTCCTCGCGAAAAGTCCACGTGGCGAGGCGCTCTGCCAACCCGCGTCCTCATTCACAATTATAAATTTGCTATTCGCGCACGTTCATCATTCATTTTGCCGCCTTTCCTCACGAACGCGTCTCCACTTTTTTTTCCGCGGTGTGCGTTTGTCTGAAAGTCAATAAACGTAAAGCGCTTACGCAGCTGCTTTGTCTCAATTAAGCCGGCGGTAATGTGCTGGTGTTATTTGTCGTGTTGAGTTTCACCGTTGCTGCAGGGCATAAAAGCACTGTAGACAATGGGGCCGTGTGGTCGAGTCCTTCGGCAATGCGTGACCAGGCTGCCTCTTTGTGCTTTTCTTTAATTGGCGCAGAGACTGGAGCGGCCATCCTCTTGGCATTTGATTACTTTTCACGTTCTTAAGGAGCGATTCTTTAAAAGAGTTTAATTGTCAAAGAAGTGGCAGTTAACCTTCTATACGCGTTCCCTCTGCTGCTTGTTCCGCTGTTGGTTAGAACTTTGTATGAGTCCTTGAACTTCTGTTTCGCAAATCGAGTACAGGGTTGCGCAGGTTATAAACTCAGTAACTGCTTTTGTAACTTCAGTGATACAATGTAATTTGCCTTACAATATTATCAAACTCTATTTGTTGTACAGGATAGGCAAAACCATAACAGGGTTTTTTTTATCCAAGTATTCTTTGTTTCATTGGGCTCTTACCCAGTTTTTTATAAAGTTGTCTATTTTTAATAAAAGTTGTCTATTTTTCTTTACTTAACTACCGTATCTAATAACAGAATTACAGTCTCATCATTAACACTGCTTGACCAAATGAAAAAGCGAACTAGTAATCTGAATCGATGACTTGCCTTGCAGGGCCCAATCCGAGCAGCACCGACCACTCCCGATGGAGTACAAGACCAACGCGGACTCCGCCACTACTGCCACCGCCGCCTCCGCCCTGGACTACCGGCCCCCCTATCGGGGGGCCAAGCCTTGGATGCGCGTGGACGGAGGGGGGCCGTCTACCTCGGGGGGTGGTGCGGGGGCGGCCGTAGGCCTCAGGGCCAGAGGTCCCGTCTCCACCTCTGGCGTGGCCCGGCCTCAGGCCCTGCAGCAGCAGCAGCCTGGAATGGCGGTGCTGACACCGAGCGGGGCCGACATCCGGACGTTCGCCATGAAAGGGTGAGCGTTACAGGATGACTCGCAGTCGCGAGATGTAAACTACCTCCGCTGGTATACAGGAGGTCGTAGGTTCGATCCGGACCCCGATGCCTGTATATTTGGAGTTTTCATGTCTCTCTCCCCGTGGCCGTGTGAATTTTCTCCGGGTCCTCTGCTTTTTATTCCACATTTAGAATCAATGTGTGTGTTTAGAGTTTTTGGCTGCTATATATTACCATATGATAAGCCACTTATTTGAGCTTCATTTGTTGGCAGGTCACTTCTGAAAAAGAGCAACATAGCTCAGTGGGCCTTACCTGGTAAAATAGACTCTGTAGTGAGCCACTTTGGATTGGGATGTGTCGTTAAACTGATTCTATGGAAATAATTTGCTGAAAAGCCTCACCGGCAATGGTTGCCACATTATTTTGTATCGTATTAAAATCACTTCTTACACTTGTGAGAGAGATATATATATACATGCATCAAATACTGTGTGTAAGAATTCATTATTTTCAATGAATGCAACTCGTATGTAATTGAAAAAGCAATGCTTCTTTAGTTAAATGGGATGAACAACACGTAAAAAAACGTGAGAACAGAGGAGACTAGCAATACAAACAGCACAGTACAAAACAAAACAAACAGGTTCATACATATCGTGTATATGCATGGATTATGCAACTCTTTCAAACATAAGTTTGACTTTGGAAGTATTTAATTTGCAGTACCGAATGAGACGGGTAGCTCTTGGAGTTAATTTTTTTTGGGATATTTGCAAATAGTCCTCGTTTCTCTGGAATATTCACGACAGTATATGCAATTGCTGTACCAATGACAGTTGCCCTAAAATTTCCTCTAGTGTTTAATGCCCCATCAGTGTTTCATGCACTGATGTTCCATTCAGGAGTAGGAGAAATTATGTATTAAAAACAAGATTGCACACATTTTTACCATATTGTAACTTAACGTTGTGTAATTTAACGTGTGTGGCACAAGCTGCGGGCCTAACCTGGAAGGCTATACCTGCATGGTTTGTGCTTGTACACCACGGCCTGTGCAATCTATTTGTTGTTTTCATTTGCACTTGCCCACAATGACTAAGTTGTCCCTTTATGCGCAACTGCGAGGGTTAATGTCTCCTTTCTGCGCCCAGAAGCTGTCTCCCCAAGCCAAACTGCCAGGAGGTAAAATTGTGCACAGTGCTTTAATGAGAATAATAGCGATCAACACATCATATTGAGCAGGGTGGGGTAGGGGGGCGGCTGTAATGGATTTATGGCAAAGTAGGAGGCATGTGCTTCATTTGATTTGTGGTAATCTCCGGTGGAGGTTAACATTAATGGGGTCAGGCCACGACCCGAACTGTGTTTGTCCTTGAGGGCAGTATTGACTGTCTGGCAACGAGATATATCCTCACAGCCACTGTTGCCCTCCATATATCACAATTTAACAACTGCCTAGCCAATCACTAGTGGCCTACCAACAGTGGCACTCAGTACAGGTCTGCGTGATTGGTTGCCTTTTCTCAGTGTCAACATAACCTGCCACCGCTCAACATTTTTGATGAATAGCTTGGCTCTATTAGCGACATCAACGCCCAAAATGCTCTTGGACAATTACGTGGCCATCATGTCCAATCGCACTTTTGATTATTTGTTTCTTTTTGTGATCAATAACTGTTCTTTTCAGAGCAAAGGGTTTGCCGAATTTTTGTCATGTCATCAACACGGCCAATCAGTTGCTCATCCATAGATTTCCAATACTGGGAGCTGCCCCGATTTTGTGAATAGATGGAGTAGTTACAACTAGCTTGTGTGCAGGTGTTCGGAGTCGTGAATTGCCCTCGAGGATTCCTAGGGCAGGTTCAGATGCCATGTACTACTAAGGTGCCATGAATCAATCCCAGGTTTACCGTTAATGTAGATAATAATATCACTTTCACTACTCCGCAACTTCCCGCCTTATGCCTGATAAAGAAAATAACCCTTGAGAGATAAGACAGATTTCAGGATCACCTTTTTGTAGAATCGTCACGCCCTCACCTCCCTCTCTCTCTGCATCTCCCACATGCTGTGATTCTACTACAATAGTTATTAGCTGCGCTTGAGCACTTTTCCTTGGGTTTGCCCCCCCCCCCCCCACCACCGTCCCTTTTCTGCCTCCCTTCCCTGTGGATAATATTTTAGCTACATTGTTTCGTTTTAACATATGCTTTGGTTACCTTTCGATAACCCAGCCCCGATGTGCTGTGTCTGTACTCTTTTATATAAAAAAACGGCTCCACGCTCGACCTATACGACAAACGCCATTGATATCGCGCATCTCTCACCACGTGGACCACGTGATGTCATCACCACTGGTTCTAAGGGCCAGCCCGGCTGAGAACGGTCAAAGTGAGGCCACTAACCGGGTTACGCGATCTAGCTACAGCTCACGTGGCTGGGTGAGGCTGCTGTGGAAGCCCGGTCGGGTTGCCCGTCGCCTGTCTTAGTTTTTTCAGGACGTACTCTGTTTAGCGGTAATCATCCTGGGCGAACTGTACGTCTTCCCAGGATGCTAAAAGCCCCGGTTTTTATCAGTTGTGTAATGAAACATGGTATGCCACCACTCAAAACAATGCATTTACGTGTAGTTCTTCTTTCTTCTGCTATTCTTAGATAATTTACTTACCATGATACGTCTTAGTTATTTTATACCTCAGAGGTGATAACCTGAGAACCCAGGCCGAGCCCACGTGCTCAGTTGTGGTCGCCACAGTGGCAAGATGTTATCTCCCTCCCCTGGTATGCAGGAGGTCGTGGGTTTGATTCAGACCCCTTGATCACGTGCAATTTTCTCCGAGTCTTCTGCTTTTTCCCTCCAAATTTAGAATCGCCATGCGTTTAGAGTATTTGGCTGCAATAAAACTCCATATGATAAGACACTTGGTTGAGATATCATTTGTGGCCAAGTCCCTTCTGAAAAAGAGCTATATAGCTCAGTGGGCCTTACCTAGTTTATAACATGAGACCATGGACTGGCCGGCCGAGCGGCCTGGCTGTAAGCGTTTCGTTAGAACGAACGCAGCATCAGTAACCACTGGAAGCCCTCCTACATTCCTATCACCAATTTCTGTTCAAACAGCGCTTTGTTGGCTCTGTAAACACTCATGGCGACTTCTCCAACTTGCGACTGTGCTCAGCACGAAACATTTTTTGCTTTTAAATCTATGCTTATTTAATTTTTTGACACCGTGTGCTGTGTATGTTTTTTAAAAAGTTTAGCTTTCTGCTAACTGCACCCACCCTTCCCTCAGCGTGCATCACCTCTGCCACGCTCACAGATACGTTTGGGCATCATTACACAAACTCCCAAGATCAAAATAACCCGGACTTGTGTCTAATGCCTGCTAAGACTGTGGATTATTACGCCATCTGTTCAATGAAGCCTTCATGTTGACAAACGTTTGCTTTACTCTCCTGATTTCCATACACAGAACGAGTAACCCAAATATTCCCAGCTTTATATTTCCAGCTTTCTGGTTGCCTGGCATCAGTTCCATTTGTTTTCTGGTCCAGAAAAGGTTTGCTGACAGCTGAGTGAGCCCACATAGGAATGCAACACGTGTGTTGTGCTTGTTGGTGACCCATCCAAGCGCTATCCAGGCTCAAACCAGCTAGGATTTTCCAAATTCTGACGCGATCAGATGCATCCAAGATTACTTGGTTATATGTGAACATAAAATATGTTTCCAAACTAATAAGTACAAAAAGTAGGGAAGAACTTTATGACTTCCCTGTAATTATGGGACATACACCGTCTAACAACAACAAAGCAGCAGCAGCAGCAGAGACGGAAGAGAACAAAACGGGTTGCGTATCGTGTCCCGTAGCTCGACTCGCCACTGTAGTCTCTGCTTCACTCTTGCCCTTTTTCTACTTCCCAATTCATTTTACTAAAATCAACTGATGATGACACATCCCCGGGCCATCGGCTCCATATAGAGACCTAACTCTCCCTCTTTTTGCACACATAAACTGAGATATATCTCACTGTACAAACAAACACAATTGTGCACAAACGCAAGCATATAGTAACAATAATTATAATTATGATTATAATATACCACACACGAGCTCAAAGCTGCATCTTATTGTCGTTTTGCAGACCGGGTTTGGCTGCGGAGAGCTCTCCGCTTTGGGTGACGGCATCCGAGCTGAGCCAAGGATATCGGTACTACACCGGCGACGGCATGGCCAACCGGGCGAGGCCACCTCAGGACCGGTATGGCGTGCTGTGGCCGACGCGACACCAGTCGATACGACTTTCTCAGTTGCCTCTGAAACTTGTTGTGATTCTAAGTTCACGTAAGCTACTTACCCTTGTTGCAGCGCTCTCTGTTCAGTTGCACTTAATTGCGATGGAATTTATACTGAGGCACAATATTCAGTAATAGATGATGATGAAAGGGATAGACTCGCTATCCCGCACCTGCTAGAGAACACATGGAGCCTGTGGTTTGTGATGCCTGGGGCTATGTCAAAGGCTTTCAAAGGCAACTTCAAGCACCGGCCCCCTTTGGTGTTGCTTGGCTTGAGGCCACAAAAAGTCAGGAAAAAAATGTCGAGCCAGCTTGCCCTGCCGTGTGGACATTGCTTCTCTCCTGTCCAGAGCGCAGTTTGAGAAATGTTTTGGGGAGCGAACAAAATGTAAGTAAAATAAACACAGGGCAGTTGGGCATTTCACCGGATTGAAATTCTACCCAGGAAGAATGTTCTGTTTTCAAGAATGTGTGCCGGAAGTTAGTGCTCCTGTGGTTTTGTTATAGGCTGAGCGTGCTTGTGTAGTGGCTGTGGGGAGCGGTGGTCAAGTAGTGAGCACACTTTTCTATGGAACCTGGCAACTCGGGTTCGATTCCCGGCTATAGTTAACATCAGTGGTCATCTTCTTTGGTTCATTTGGTAAATTCTAGATTTAAAGCTTTCGTGACTGCAAGGATCCATACTCTTTGGTTCTATTCGGTAAAGTCACGTAGTTAAAAAATAAAAAAACAAAAATCACGACGTTTCAGCCACAACACAAGTGGCCTTCATCAGGTGAAGGGATCAGGCTGTCTCGAGGACAGCGCTGGAGTGAAACACAGCCACGCTGAGACCGCGGACCTTTAAGCTGTGTGCGAGGAAACAAGGTGCCTTGACAAAGGAATTAGCATAAAAATTAGCATTTGATTGGCCGACTTAGCATAGAGGTGGTGTACGTGCGGGTGGACTTGCCGTTTGGCGTGGGGGGGGGAGGGGGAGTTTACGTATTGATGGTCTGAAAAGGGAATTTTTAAGAGCTGCGAAAGTTTGGGGTACCACTACTTTAAAAATATACTGTACCATTGAAAATTAGTTTAATGTTTAGTTCGATTTAGAACATCTTTCCAATGGTTGCTTAATTTGAAACCATCTTCTCGGTTGAAATTGTGTCTGTGTTTGTAGATTGGAATTGCCTCGTGAACAAATCTCTGATAAAAACCTTGGTATCGGAGAAAATTATATCGTGATCACCCACAGCGTTGTAACAGTGATCAGCCACGGCAGAAGAATTCGTTTTGCCGTGTTTCAAATCTGATTTGTGCTCGCGAATTCGGTCAGAGACATGTCGCTTTGTCTCCCCGATAAAGCAATAACCGCAGGTACAACTCAATTTGTAAACCCCGGGGTACTGTAAGTCAGGAATGACATCCTTCACGGATGGGATCAGATCACGAATTTTGTGTACTGTATTGAACCGGACCTGGATCTTGTGTTTGTTTAGAATTTTGGAAATCTTTTTAGTAACGCCTGATATATATGGTAGTGTGATGGTTTTGACTGGAGTATCAAGTGGTTGTTTCTGTATGGAGGGAGAAACAGCTTGGCGGATGGTACGGTCAGAGTATCCATTCCTTTTGAGGGCCAGGTGTACATGTGTAGTGTTGTAAGGACGAGCAGACTTCTTTAGGAGGCACACTCTGTTTATTGTATTATTTCCTTATACAACGCTTAACACGCACAGAGGGATATTCGGTCCCCTCACCCGATACCCTAGGGAGGTACAGCCTCCGGACCTGGCGGGACTCTCACGTCTACTGCTAACCTCCTTGATACCTAAGGAGGTACAACCTCCGGACTTGGCGGGACTCACACGTCTACCGCTATCCTAGTCCTCCGGCTAGGACCTAGGGGAGGCTATCTGACCCACCGCTGGCCCGGTGGGTCCTGACCACTGGGTATGCCGAGCCTTAGCCCTTAGAAGGGCTGAAAGGCTGGTCCAGGGTCCTAGCTAGGCTTCAGCCCAGTCTTCTATCTTCGTGCAGGGAGAGAACTCCCCGAGATCCGTTGGGTCACCCGTCTTATACCCCTTCGTGGCCAGGTAGAACCAATCATACATTCCCACGTGGAACCGTCTGATTGGTTCGCACCAAACCCTGGCCACGATCCGTTTCACCTCGACTGACCCCAACCGTTGTACCCAGGGGTAATGCTGCACTGCCCTGGTGGCAACGCAGGTTACGCAACAGCGCGTAGTTAACACCTCTACATCACCCCCTCCTTCGGAAGCTCCAGCCGTCCCGGCTGCAACAATGGGAAACTCCGCAATTACCAACGGTAGAACAATTGTCAGTGTGCCTCACGAACAACAAGAACAATTAAACCCCTATTAATACCCCCCTTAACATAACGTATGTACAAGGCACTAGACATGCCAAAGAAACATTATAACAACCGGCGAGATTTCGCGCGCGTGCGTTTCGCGGGACCATCGTAGGGGATGGCAGGCTTTGTCGGCGGCACAAGGGAAGGAGGAGGATGAGCCAGAGCATCCGGTGGGCCTTTAGGCATCTCCACGGGGACACCTGCTGCTCCACGGTCCATTGAGGCCGAACGTGGCCTGCATGGAGCCGTCACTCCCGCGTCATCTGCAGGAGGAATGACACGCCTGCGCTGTGGGTTAGGCACCAACGGGGCAACATCCGGCTCGTCGGACGCGTCGCACACTCGGCCCCCATGTCGTGTGTGTTGTGGAGGGACGCGTGGCGTGACGAAGGGTTTTAACCGAGAGGGGTGAACGCACCAGCGACGCCGTCCCCAGCTAATTTTAACACATTGGGGACGCAGGACTTCCACTACCTCAACCGGTCCTCGCCATGGTCTGAGGAGTTTGGCCGACGTGGACACCAGCACCTGGGGGCAGTGGAGCCATGCCCTGTCTCCCGGTGCCCACCGATGCGTGTACGACCGAGGGTCCCGCAGTCGCAAATTCGCCCGTTGGCGGGAAGCCGAATTTTCAATGGCGGCCTCCCGTGCCTCGGCCAACTTACGGAGGTTGAATCGCAAGTGGTCAACGAGCTTTGACTTTTGCGGTGGCTGTTCGATTTCCAGCCGAACGTCGGCGGGTGGAAAGGCATCCCTGCCGTACATTAGAAAGAACGGGGAAAATCCCGTCGCCGCGTGAGGTGCCATACAGTATGCGCCGAGGACCCCCGGAACCTGCCAGTCCCAATCGAGATGGGATTCATCGACCTGATGGCATAACATAGCGGTGAGAGTTCTATGAAGGCGCTCCACCATGCCGTCGGTCTGGGGATGGTAGGGCGAAGTGCGCACTTTCTTAGTGCCCAACAGGCGGCACACATCAGTCAGCAAGGCTCCCGAAAAATTTCTTCCCTGATCGGTCAGCAACCGTTCTGGTGCGCCCTTGTCCAGGACGTAGCCTTGAACAATGGCGTCCACAACGGCCGCCGCCGACTGGTTGGGGAGGGCCCAGGCCATAGGCCACCGTGTAAAATACTCTACCCTAACCAGAAGGTACTTATTACCCCGTGGCGTAGTAGGAAAAGGGCCCAAAATATCGAGAGCCACCAACTCATTTACACGAGAGACCGAAATGGGTTGCAGGGGTGAACATGCCGGTTTAGCCGGCGGTTTACGTTGCGCACAATGGGTGCATCCCAGCAAAATGTCAGTGACGTCGCGCAGCATGCCTGGCCAGAAAAATTGCAACCGCAACAACCCAATGGTCTTATGAACACCCAGGTGCAATAAACGCTCATGCGCCGCCCATACGGCCTTGCATCGCAAGGCGGATGGCACGACGATTTTATGTTGACACGAGTCAGCATCCCAATGCATCAACAAGCCGCGCTTCATGACAAATGAATTAAATTTGCCCTGTCTTGGAACCGCATTATTCGCGTGGCGACGCAACCTCAATAACGACATGTCCTCGCCCTGGTGCCGACCCCACTTCTGACACCAGTTGTAGTGTTGTAAGGACGAGCTGACTTCTTTAGGAGGCACACTCTGTTTATTGTATTATTTCCTTATACAACGCTTAACACGCACAGAGGGATATTCGGTCCCCTCACCCGATACCCTAGGGAGGTACAGCCTCCGGACCTGGCGGGACTCTCACGTCTACCGCTAACCTCCTTGATAGCTAAGGAGGTACAACCTCCGGACTTGGCGGGACTCACGCGTCTACCGCTATCCTAGTCCTCCGGCTAGGACCTATGGGAGGCTATCTTACCCACCGCTGGCCCGGTGGGTCCTGACCACTGGGTATGCCGAGCCTTAGCCCTTAGAAGGGCTGAAAGGCTGGTCCAGGGTCCTAGCTAGGCTTCAGCCCAGTCTTCTATCTTCGTGCAGGGAGAGAACTCCCCGAGGTCCGTTGGGTCACCCGTCTTATACCCCTTCGTGGTCAGGTAGAACCAATCATACATTCCCACGTGGAACCGTCTGATTGGTTCGCACCAAACCCTGGCCACGATCCGTTTCACCTCGACTGACCCCAACCGTTGTACCCAGGGGTAATGCTGCACTGCCCTGGTGGCAACGCAGGTTACGCAACAGCGCGTAGTTAACACCTCTACACGTTTCAATTCACTGGTCAGGTGGTGTTGGTCCGAAATGCAATGAGCCCTATGGTATAAAGTTTTGATGAGAGAATTCTTTTGGGCTGGGTGGTGGTGGGAATCAGGTTTCAAGTAGGAATCTGTGTGGGTGGGTTTCCTGTAGACAGAATGCCCCAATGAGCCATCAGGTCTCCTCTCAAACAGAACATCTAAGAATGGTAGCTTGCCATCTTTCTCCACTTCCATGGTGAATTTGATGGCGGGATGTCTGGAATTGATGTGGTGTAGGAAAAGGTTCAGAGCTGGGAGGCCATGTGGCCAAATGACGAAAGTGTCATCCACATATCTATTCCACAGGGAAGGTTTGAGGGTGGAAGTCTGGATGGCGTCTGATTCAAATTTC